TTTTTTTGGTGTGTGAAATCAAAACTGGATAGTTTGAACCCTTGATCGGTTTCAGCGCCGGCTTGTAAATTGAGCGGACCCTCCTATAACAGAGCCATCAAAACTTTCTCGGAGTTAACATTGAAAATGACGGACAACAAAAATGTTACACTGGATTAGAGGGGGGAAAAAACTTTTTACCTGTAAATTTAATCTGCACTTCTTTGTTGTCATTAGGATTTTTTTTTTTTTACATAATACTATTATTATTAATTTATCATCCTTTACAAATTTCTACTACACCAAAATATCAATCTGATGCAACATCACTCTAATTCTGTAAACCCCGCCCTCGCAGATATCAACAAACTGCTGATTGGTTAATAGGTTGTCAACTAAATAAAATCTCTTCCCTGATTGGTCAATTCCATGCGCTCCTTTAGGTTTCATTTGGGTTGGACAGGAAGTCGCTCTTTCGCTCTTCCGGGCAGTGTGTGTGGCGGCGCTGGGTCTGTGTAGTTCTTATTTGTAACGTGGACTAATGGCAGATACTTTGTCACTTTTCACCTCTATTGGGTTGAGCGAGCAGAAAGCGAAGGAAACATTAAAAAATGAAGCTCTGAGTTCTTCCCTGAAGGAGGCGGTAATTCAGGTAGGAACTCACCGGTGAAACTGGGAAAATGATAGTGACACATCGCTGTTGAGACCACCTTACTTTCGAAATTGACTGTAAAAGTAAACATGGACACTACTTTCATTTTTAACATGAGTAGCCTGATTTAAATATATTAATTTCCGTGTTTCTTAGGTCGCATCCCATGTGTATGTTTATTTGTTTGAAAGGAAAAATGTGTTTTATGATTTGATTTTGACAGGCTCAACGTGTCAATGGGGCATCTGGTGTGGATAAGGCCATGGGCACTTTGCTCTACAGCATGGCTTCTCGCCTCAAAGACAACAAACGGCTGACATTTCTCTCAGACTGCATCGCTCAGAGAAAAATCTGCTCAGAGCTACAACTTGCAGGTAATTTTTTGACATTTCTGACATGAATTTGTTTGTGTGATGAACCCTGAGGTCAATGCTGATTGCTTTCATGTTCCTCTTCTTATCCACATCAAATATACATAGAATTTCTTTTTTTTTTGCAGCTGCTTTAGACTTTGTCAAAAGTCATCCTGCGGATCCAATCAGTCAGAAGGAGTTTGATGAAGCATGTGGTGTTGGTGTGGTCATAACTCCGGAGCAGATTGAGGATGCGGTAAGGACATAGTCTCCCACTGTTTGTGAACAAGTCTGCCTCTCAGATATAATCATATACTTTCCCACACTAAACCCACAAGCTTATATGTATTCTATTGTGATGTGATGGACCAAAAAGTAGTATATAATTGTGAACTAACTTTATTGATATGGCACTTTATTAACAGCAGGCACTAACCGATGTGCTGAACAGAAAGGATTAAAGTTAATCTATAAAATGTAAAATAATAACAAACATAAATAAAATCCATATAAAGATGCAATTTGAAGTTTGTAGGAGGGATTTGTGTTGAGCCCCTTTTATCCCGATGCCCCTTAATAAATGTACTGCAATCAATGAATATCAGAGATGATGTAATTAGTAGATACAGTCCCTCTGTGTGTAATATAGTAAATAGTGACTGGTGACTTTGTACCTGGACACAAACCTTAAACATTCACCCCGATGGTCAATAAAATTATTTAGGATAATTTGCTTTTAAAGAAGTAGAGATGGTGCCTTGCAGCAAGAAGGTTTGTATGGTCTCCCTGACAAGGCGTGGGTTCTCTCCGGGTACTCCCGCTACCTCCCATCGTCCAAAAACATGACTATTAGGGTAATTGGCTTCTCTGAATTCTCCTTAGGTGTGTGTGTGTGCGTGCATGAATTGTTGTTTATCTTGTTTGATTCTGTGTTGCCCTGCGATGGACTGGCAACCTGTCCAGGGTGTACCCCACCTCTCGCCTATAGACTGATGGATATAGATGCCAGCAAAAAAAAAAAGCACATCTGTGTATTTTTACAGTCTAATTGAAGTCCATCTTAGAGTATACATTTAATGCTTAGATTTGTGCTTTTCAATCTGGCTGATCTGAATTAGATTTAGAAAGAGGAAGGGACAAAAAGCGAAATCTGTAGATGTGCGAAGCTGGGAAAGATAGAGCAGCAGAAGGAAATTCTACAAAGCATTAATAACACATAGGGAATGAATACCAATGCTTGAATCATGTTTCACATTTTTATATGGAAAAAACATTGGAAAACAGTGCATAGTTTTTTTCTCTAGAATTGTTTCGGTCTATCGAAAGCAGTCCAATTAAATAGATCAAAGTTAGTGGTTGCTCTGTGACAAAATTAAGAGTGAAGAGATCTGAAAATGTCTGCAAAGCAGGGAAAATCTGCCTCTGCTAACCAGCCATGGTGTGTTGAGTGACAGTAGAATGCCATTGCAGGTTGAATCTGTCATCAAGACGCACAAAGAGCAGCTGATAAAGGAGAGGTACCGCTTCAACATGGGACTGCTAATGGGTATGAACTCACATTTGGCTTCATCGTTAGTGCGGTCATTAAAACCGAAGAAACACACAAAAATTTGTGGCTGTTCCAGGTGAAGCACGATCTGCTTTAAAGTGGGCTGACGGGAAGGTGATTAAAAATGAAGTGGACGTGCAGGTATGCATGAAAAAGATTCTTTTTTTTTTCTTTTTTGCAAGCTGAAGTGGTGTTGTTTTAGGTGTCAACGGGTGATATCATAAGCTCTCTCCTTGATCTTAAAGGTTCTGCACCTGTTGGGGCCAAAGACGGAGGCGGATCTGGAGAAGAAACCCAAGGTAAGAAATCCATCACAATCTACAAACACAGATCTCACTTCCTGAGTGGGTCCTGCAAAAGTTTGCTGTTTCTGCAGGCACAAAAAGCAAAGGTGGCAGAGACTGATGTGAAGGTGAAAAAAGAGGAGGCGGCAGTGAATGGTGAGCTGCTGCAAAGTAGACCAAAGTGTTTTAAACCTTTTTGAATTTGATTGTAGTTATACATTTTTATCACTTTATTTATTTGTAAAGGTGATGCAAATTTTGTGGAGGGAAGGTCTCTGATGGAGCAGCTCAGAGGAGAGGCGCTGAAGTTTCATAAACCAGGTGAGAGGTAAAGGTTTAGATGAAGAACCAATCAGGTCATCTGTGTTTACCTAAACCATAGCTGTCAACATGAGCATTTGTAAAATGCTGGTGGTAAAATTCTTCATGTCAGTAGTCAAAACATATTAATTATTCACCACATTTGATTGATCATCTGGACCCTTTTATACAGGAAAAGATACTTCCCTGTTTACACCACATATTGTATTTTTATTTCTGATGTGTTGAGGTACTTTATCTGCATATTGGTAACATTTGAAGGTGGAGTACAGGGTCATTTTTTTTTATAGTCTGGCTTTTCTTTCTTGGCATTTTACAGGAGAAAACTATACAACCGAAGGTTATGTTGTCACTCCAAAAACTATGGAGCTCCTTAAGAAGCACTTGGAGATCACTGGCGGGCAGGTATATACTTCAGCCATGTTGTCAACAAAGCAATCAGCTTCCACTTTAAATGTCCTTTAGTACTGAGTTGTATCTGCTTTAATTGCTTCAGATCCGTACTCGTTTTCCACCTGAACCTAATGGTATCCTTCACATCGGACATGCCAAAGCAATCAATTTTAACTTTGGTTACGCCAAGGTACGTGGCTATCTGTCCTGTTTGCTTTTTTTTAAAGGCAAGTTAAACGTCTCTATAGCTGTTTCTCTGAATCTGATCTCTTTCTGCAGGCAAACGATGGTATTTGTTTCCTGAGGTATGATGACACCAATCCTGAGAAGGAGGAGGAGAAGTACTTCACTGCCATCAGGGACATGGTGGAGTGGCTGGGTGCGTTTCACTGACCATTTTACCGGATTCAACACACAAGTCTAAAATGTTTTTTCAATGTTTTCCTCAATTGGTTTTGTAAAAGAAAGTTGTGTAGGAACAAAATATATTCTTATGTTCTTCCTTCTTTTCTTATTTCTTTAACCAACCAATCAGTGAATTAATCCAAAATGCCCACACTTTAATCAACCTAATAATAAAAGATAAAAAAGATCACTAAACTATAGTTTAATCAAAGCACAAATCTATTATTTGTTAATTTACTGATAAAAGATACATTTATGTAAAAAAAACAAAAAACATACTGAAATGAAAAATGGATAACACAGTTTTTGCTAAGATTAAAGAAAAATAATGAGTATTTAGTGATAATATTATTGAATAGTTATTGGCTTTCTAGAAACTGCATGAAAGTCTTGACATTCATGTGATTTCTTTTTCTCAGTCAAAATCATCAAAGTATCACAGTAATTGTAGTTTAACTGTCAGTCTGGAAACATCAGTAACTCATTCCTCACTTCTAAGGATTTTAGCAAACAGTAGAAAAACTGGGATCACTCCTCATGGCGCTCTCTGTTAACTGAGTTATTCTGAGGAACAACAAAGAGACAGAGCAGTGTCTAGTACAGGTTTTGATGCGGAATGTAATAAGGGTTTAGATCCAAAATAAGGGCAGAATATAAGAGTAATGGCAGAATGAACTAACACTGGATTGATTGCAACATTTTTCCAGCATATTGGGATAGAACAAGGTAGAATTAAAATATCTTTTAGAAGTTCACAGAGAAACATCCTCATTTCACATTTTGCACAACTTTCTCTACTGATAAAGACAAACCAAAGACCTTTCCTTTAACTTTTTTTGGACCCATTCAGTCAATTTCTCATTAAGGAAAAGTTTCAGCCAGGTGTTTTGTAAACGTCACGGGGAAACTGTTGACTTTATTGCCATATAATCCCTTGAGTTTCACACTTAGTAAGGAGAAACTGCCCCGGAAGGCCTTTGGAAATCTTCTGACGACCTATAACCATTGAAATATCACTTGGAACAAAATTAAAACATGAAAAATATTATCTTAACCATAGTCTGGCATACAAAATTGAAATATTGACACAAAGGATAGATTTGCTTTGTTTGGAACAACCCATGAAGGTCCTGGCTTTCCTTTGAGGATAAGAATTGTTCTGGTTTAGACAGGAATACTTGAGAAGACACTATTTCCACAAAGACTTGAGGAAAAAAAGTAAAAAGGATGAAATGTCACATCTTGAAGGTTGCCTAGGTTACATGTCCCACTATCATATTTTTTCCCATCAGTCTGTGGCTTTTCCAGGTCCCAAATTGAAGCCTGAACACAGTGTCCCTCTTTTTTTTTTTTTGAAGTCTTGAAAAGCTCAAGAGTTTTATAAGAAAAAAGTACAGGAACCTGAATATTAAGCAGCTCCTTATAAATATTACTCTATCACACAGGTTACACTCCGTACCAAGTCACACATGCATCAGATAACTTCCAGAAACTCTACGACCTTGCTGTGGATCTGATCCGCAGGTAAGAGGAGGTTGGATTTAAACGAGATGCATTTGATTTGATGGAGGGCCTAAACTGATGGTCTCTGCTTTTTTTCTTTTTTTTTTAGGGGTCATGCATATGTGTGCCACCAGAAGGGTGAGGAACTGAAAGGCCACAACGTTCCTCCGTCTCCTTGGAGGGACCGGCCTGTTGAAGAGTCTTTGGTGTTGTTTGAGAGGATGAAGAAGGGCATGTTTTCAGAGGGCGAAGCCACGCTCAGGATGAAGATGGTAATGGAGGACGGGAAGATGGATCCCGTGGCATATCGAATCAAATACACGCCTCATCACCGGACAGGAGATGAATGGTAGCCAAACATTAAGCTGCATTAGTCTTTATTTCTTTAACTTGAGTTATTTACCCTGCTTTTTATCTTTGTCTTTAGGTGCATCTACCCCACATACGACTATACCCACTGTCTGTGTGACTCCATTGAAAACATAACACATTCTCTGTGTACCAAAGAGTTTCAGGCCAGGTATGTAAAAGCCTTTGATCTGTTTTGATCTGTGTTTTGGCTTTAGTTTGAAGCCAACTGTCTCATTAAGTCTTTCTGCTTTTTGGTTGGCGATTTTAGGCGTTCCTCATATTACTGGCTGTGTAACGCCCTAGATGTGTACTGCCCCGTTCAGTGGGAATATGGCCGCTTGAACCTCACTTACACCGTTGTATCCAAGAGAAAAATCATCAAACTTGTTGAAAATGGAGTTGTCAGGTGACGACACACACCTTTATTCATGTTAAATTTGGTTTTGTGGGTTTTTGGCTCTGATTCTAACAGAGCTCAGATTACAGATTTACCGGGTCGTGAAAATCATGTAAAAAAAAAAAAGCATCTTTTGTTGTATGGTTTTTTACAATTTTATTTTATCATTAGGATCATTAGTTGATGATTATTTCAATAATCGTTTAATCCGATTAATTGTTTCAGCACTACTCTTATCTAATATCTAAAAAACAAAAAATCCCTTTTTACCCTAATCCATCTGTCCCAGTTAGTTTGTTGCCATTTTCTTTCCTCTTATTCATCCAGTTATCTATCTTCTCTTGTTAATCTGTCCTTTTACAATTGTTTTTGTCTTCAGTCCATCAGTTTATCTCTATCCATTGATTTTTCTCACAGTTGAAATAGCAATAATTACAGTGTTTCTAGTTTCTGTGGCTGCATCACACTTTGGTTTCTTTATGTCAATGAAATGGTGGCTAACATGTAACATCACTTTTATCTCAGTCTAATACTTACAGAATGTAGAAACCTGTATGAATACAGCGTAAGGGTAAAATAAACCAGATTTTTTTTTTTTATTAGAAAATGTATGACATACAATTAGTTAACACAACTTTTTATAGGAGGGAAGCTTTCACTGCAGAAGTTCTGATTCTTTAGCAATTGGCTTTCCTTTCCAAAAGCTATGAAATGCAATATAGATGAGAAAATGCCAACAGAAATTCTTTGTGATTAAAAATAGCTGGATGTTCAATCAGTTGAATTGCTTAGAATATTCTCAAAGTTATGAAGACAAATCACTTGAAGCTGGTACTAGACTCATAGGATAATTTCTGTATAACACTTTTAGTTCTTTTACCTTGATAATCTGAAAGGCCTGTGTGTGATTGTAATTCTGAGCACCTCTCAGTAAACTTATCTGCGTCCGTTTGCAGAGACTGGGACGACCCCAGACTTTTCACTCTGACTGCCTTGAGGAGAAGAGGTTTCCCTCCAGAAGCCATCAACAACTTCTGTGCAAGGGTATGCAGAAAGGAGGGCTTATTGGTCTGCTGCACAGAGCAACAAGGACCTCAATGTAAAGAGAATGTGCTGGTTGTTTATAGTAAGTAAAGTAAAGTCTGTGTTTTAGGTTGGGGTAACAGTTTCCCAGACAACAACAGAGCCCCATCTTCTGGAGTCGTGTGTGAGAGACGTGCTGAATGACTCCGCCCCTCGGGCCATGGCTGTACTGGAGCCCCTCAAAGTCACCATAACAAACCTTCCTCAGGACAAAAAGGTTCACTATTAATATCTTCTAAGAAGGAAACGTGTTAAAGATTTAAACACGGCGTTTGATTTAACTGTCTTCTTCTCTCACAGGTTGATGTAAGGGTACCAAACTTTCCTGCCAATGAGGCCAAAGGTTCCCACACTGTTCCTTTTACGAACACAATCTTTATTGAACAGAGCGACTTCAGAGAGGTTAGAGCGATGAAAGCAAATGCAGCATTTCGCCATCATTCTGTTCTTTATGGAGGTCTTGCATTGTGGACTTGTTGATTTTTGCAGGTGATGGAGAAAGGCTACAAGCGCCTGACTCCAGATCAGCCTGTAGGCCTGAGACATGCTGGGTATGTCATCTCTGTCCAGAAAGTCATCAAGGTAAGTATTTATGTGGTTTTGTTTATTACCCCTATAATACAGAGTTAAATGTTTCACTGTTGTGTTTCTCTTTTATTGGTATTAAATGTCAAAGAAGGATAAAATGAAAGGGGTTAAAATGAAATAAAATCTTTCAGCTTTAACTCCTATGTGATAATGAGCTTAAAGACACATTTAGTTTCAGCAAAAGGTACCTTTGGTCTCCCTTGAACTAGCCAATTTTTGTACCTCTGCATTGCTCTAAACTTTGATTCATATTGGGAAGTCATTTTAGACGTTTTAAATCATTTCACGTTACTTACTAATTGGTGCCTTTTAGGAAATATTTAAGTTGTTTTGTGATCTTGTAGCAAATGACAGTGGTGGATATTAAAATAAATCAGTATAGATCAAAATCGGGATTGGCATGTCAGGCTTTTTAGGGCTGGGAATCGATGATCGGCCAGAAAGCTGCAACCGGTTCACCCCCTTGTAGAAAATAAATACATATACATCCTAATATTACAGATGTCTTTACCAATATCATTAGCTTCCAAGATCGTTCAGCTTTTGGATAAAGAGATAAAACACCAAATGGGAATTGAGCTGTCACTCAAAACAACATCTAAATAAATTCTTGTTTTCAGGACTCTAAAGGTAAAGTTGTGGAGCTCGAGGTGACCTGCTGCAGCACCGACACTGCAGAGAAACCAAAGGCCTTTATCCACTGGGTCAGCCAGCCGTTGGTGTGTGAAGTACGACTCTATGAACGACTGTAAGCCAGAAACCGCAACTGCCTTCCAAAACTAACACAGTCGACTTTAAAACTTGTATAACTAAGAAAGTCTCCCTGATTTTGTAGTTTCCTGCACAAACATCCAGAGGATCCATCTGAAGTGCCCAATGGTTTCCTGAGTGACATCAATCCTGTAAGTGACTGTAGATTGCTGGGACATTTTTTTTTTTTATGGCCCTTTTAACTCTAATTATATCTTAATAGGATTTATGTGATACTCCGACACAAAGTTGTAAAAATGGTGTGGATTTAGATTTAACCATTTTGCTTTCACTCTGATACACTTCAACAAATCCAGTCCAACCAGTTGACTGCATAGTAGACCTATTTATTGAACAGCTGACTCAATGTTTGATTTAATCTCAGAATAAATCTGCTCTGTGAGGAGCTCAGAGGTTTGCTTGGCAACAACACTGAATTAAAAAGCTTCATTAAGACCAATGATAACTACTGACAGGTGAGACATAAAACTGTCCAGCAGGTTTAAAGCAAGCTTAGCTTATAAACCAGAATCCCAAGCTTTGAGCATCTGGTACAGAATTGCTCAATCAATATTTTAAAATCTAGGAATAAAGCACAACTGCAAACCTATTAAATCATGGCTTTCAACCTTTTTACATAAAAGCTATTAGTTTTGCACTCCATAAATCAGTCCTCCATGAAAGTTTGGCAGTGGAAAGCTATTAGTGAGGGGAGAAATCTGATAAACATCCTTGGTGCAGTCATATTGGGGACACAGCAAATATGTGGATGAAGGTTTTCTAGTCTGGTGAGATTGTGGTTAAAATCTCTTTCCTACAAAATGCTACTGCTGCTTAACTCATTTAAACAAGGTGGTGGCAGTATCATGCTTTGAGGATGATTTTCTTCATATGGTACAATAAAGCAGTTCGATTAAAGGGGAAATGGATTAACTAAATTCAAGGCAGCATGGTAAGAGAGGTGTTGGTCGTGAAACAGGACCTACAACAGGACAACTACCCTGAATGCCCAGCCAGTGTTGCCAGGAAATGCTCTAGTCAAAGTCCGGCCAGGATGCTGTATTATGCTACGTTCACACTGCACACTTTTTGGGCAGCAGAAGCAGCCGCTTTACATGCAAAGTCTATGTTTGACAGGTTCTGCAGCATTTGTAGAGCAGTAGGAGCAGTGCATCATGACGCATCTGAGCAGTTAAAGCAGCAATTCTTAGCATCTATGGCACGTGACGCACTTCACAAGCAGCAGATGCTGGAGTTGGAAAATGTAATGCATGCTGCTTGACGTGCCACATCACCCTATCAGGGAAGCTGATCTGGGAGTTGGCAGGGAGACGGACACAGCGCTGCTGATGCAGAGTGCTATAATCACTCCCCTGAAACAGTCTATTAATGCCTAAATTCACTTAAAATGTCGAAACCTGATGGCAAAATATGTTTGCTTTTATTATTGGGGTGCCTGCAGTTTGTACCACATACCTAAAAAAATGCTAACATCTACTTCCGGCTGCCACTAACATTAATGGAAAAAACCCCAAAAGGTGACTGTGCCTGAGGCAGCTGCAGCTGGGGATTCCCAGTGACAACGCACCGTCGCTATGTGGAGGTCTATGTGATGAACTGACCGCACAGACAATGTTTTGAGGTGGACTTTCTTGCATAAAACATATTAAAACTATGTTTTTCCCCACTTATCACAGCAAATGTAGCAAAGCCGCTCTCTACAATTAAACACAGGAGCAACAGAAGCATCAGACATATCTGTATACATTTTACAGGACGTGCCTCAGGAGCATCAAAGATGCTCTTGAGGCGCATCTAACCTTAACGTGTACAAAAATCAAAAATGAAGCAGCAGGCGCTTTTTTGCTGCTGAGATCGCCTGCATGTTAACGTAGGATTACTATAATAATCTATAGAAGTGCTTGGAGAAACACTTGGTTCAGGAAGGCTAAATTGCAAACTTTTTAGACTTATTTTAAACCATGTAGAATTATATTTCTGCTTCACATTTTTTTTTACAACTGTGTCAGTTCTTATGAGGTTCCAATGAAAGTCACCAATATTGGGGCTTGACACAAGATGAGCTGTGACAAATTATCAGTGGGATTACTTATTACTTCCTCTTATTTTGTTCTCTTCAGAATTCCCTGCAGGTGATCAGCAGTGCCTTAGTGGACACCTCTGTGAAGGGGGCTAAAGCTCTGGATAAATTCCAGTTTGAGAGAGTTGGTTACTTCTCCCTTGACCCTGACAGCACGGCTGACAAGGTGAAAAAATAAATCCACTTTAATTCTGTAATGGTTTTAAATGGTTAGCAGCCATATTTTAAATACTGTAGTAAAGCATATTATAATATGCATTTGTTTCCCTTTCAGCTCATTTTTAACAGAACTGTCACACTTAAAGAGGACCCTGGGAAGATCTAATTGACACAGTCCAGCTGCGCTTCCACCATGAGCCTTTAGATACTGGACCACTGTGTTTGCATCATCTTCTATGTAACATCAGCAAGAACACAGAAACTCTGACTGAGAGTGCTTTAAATGATTTGCCTTTTATTGTCTCCTGCAACATTTTTGAACAGCATATGAAGCCGCCTTATGGCTGCCAGTGTCTCCTCAAGGTCTCTGTTCCCGTTTTTGCTGCAGCGCTAACTAATTACACGTTATGCTGGCATCTGCTTTTGGTATGTAAGCAACTTGATCAAAAACAGACTTCATGTGGAAATGTTAAGACAGCTGGTTTTACAAAAAGAGGATGCTCTCAGGATGCCATATTTGACTTTGTAACCGAGGTGATTCCATCCCTCCTTAAGAATCACAGGGGTCCTTTTGGACAGCAAATAATAAAATTGATATGATTTAAAAATTGTCTGTTGATTATTTACTGAGCATGTTTCACATTTTTTAAGTAATTAGTCATTCAGCTTTTGGTGGTTGTTCAGGAACCATTCTCATTGATGGAGCTGTAATATTTCTATTTATCAAATGAAATTTTTAAAAAAAAAAGGGTGTCGTGTTTTTCTAGAATGGATGGGAAACAATTGCAATCTGAGCCCAAATTGCATTTTTTTTATTATTTACATTTTTTTATATAGATTATGTAAAGTTAAATGTTTATAGAAAATAGCAGCATGTTGCACTTAAATTTTCAGTTTTTTAAATGTATTATTTTACACATAACCTGAATAAACCCAAACTGCAGTTTTATGACTGTTTAATTGTTTAAGAAAAGAAACTATCCAAACCAATCAGGTTTCTTTTCTTTTGTAATAACTGTTTTGATTTAGCTGTTTCTACCATGAGAGATGTAAAGGAATGCAGGTATTTAGATTTAAGTCTGAACTTTGACTAGGCCACTTTTTTCATCTCTGAATCATTGTGTGTAGACCTTCTGGTGTGCTTTGGGTTGCCCTTGCTTAACATGCGATACTTAGAGATTATGGTCATAAACTGAAGGCAAAAATGATTAGTTTTAGGTAAAAAACAGAATTCGTAAATCCATGAAAGATGGTAAGTGGCCTTGTCCAAAACGCAGTAAAGCAACCTAGAGGCAGTGACACTTGCACTTGGTTTTACTGTTGGTATAACTACAGTATATTGATACTTTTTTTTCACCCTGGTCTCTCCCTTAAATGTTTATGAAAACTTACCTCAAACTAGGTCCACCATGATTTAGATACTGCATGGTTCTGTTATGACTGTGGGTGGGCTCTAAATGCATTATTGGAACAGTTTTGTAGTTCAGTCATTAAAAAAGGTTAGCTTCTTTTTTTCCATTTGTAAATAACTCTCTGGGTCCTGAGAAATAGGTTTAAAAACCTTATCCAGATTGATAGATGTCAAGCACTCTTTAAGAAGATTTGGGCTATTGCAATTATAAGTACACTTATTATTTTTTAATACATCAGTATCTCTTTATCTTCTAGAATGTTTTTGCTGCATTTAGCAACAGGGGTCACTAAATATACCCTCAGTCTGTGTGTATGATACCAATGGTTGACAAACCCATTGCTGTCTAGGCAGCTTATGTATGTTTTGTCCTGGTAATAGACATTGTTTATCCCTAATATGAACAACTGTAAATACATCAGCGGTTTTACATTCTCCTTACCTTTTATACATTTGTGGGAATTGCTTTTTGGTTTCCAACATGTTTTTATATTTTAATTTTCAGAGCTTGTCGTCATTATTTATTATAGAAATCAGAATTTAGGATTTAATTTTAAATTTAAGCCAGCCTGGCCAGTGGTTAGGCTTGAGATGTAGAACCAGCAAAAAACACACTGTTGGATGAGGGATGGATCATTGATAAAAAAAAAAAATAAAACAGTATAATCAGATACACTATATTGCCAAAAGTATTTGCTCAC